GATTATTAATTGCCGAAATTAATTGCCGATTTATCAGAATTTCATCCAGTTCTAATCTATAATATCATATTTTGAAAGGTGGTCGTAGAAATTCTTACCTTATGACTGTAAAAAGAAAGCTTTGGGTTTATCCTTACAGATACGCAAGCTTATACTTTTGCTGCGCAATTGAACAGAACGACAATGAATTGCTGACATTGGAGATTATACATCGATATGTTGAATTATTGGATAAGTATTTTGGCAGTGTAAGTATTATATTATCGAAATTTATTTAAAATGTATTTTACCAAGTTTTGTAATTTGTTTAACTGTATATTATAATTATAATTTATTATTAATGATAATATATTATTAGGTATGCGAGTTGGATATAATTTTCAATTTCGAAAAGGCATACTTTATCTTAGACGAGTTGCTTGTCGGTGGGGAGATTCAAGAAACTAGCAAAAAAAATGTATTGAAAGCCATTGCTGCCCAGGACCTGTTACAGGAGGTTAGTTACGGGGATGTACCCCTTGAATTGTAACATGCCTTAATTTATTAATAGCACACCAAGGTTGTACACATATCGTTTCCTTTTATAGCCAGTTTTTTTTGGCTGTAAAAGAAGTATTTTTTTTAGATCGTTTTATCTAGCTGTTTACACTTAATACATATTTAAGGAGCCATCTAGCAAAACTATATCCATAGATAGAAAGTACAAATGAAAATGTTATACTTGCATTTGCATAATATTTAATCAACGTTTGCCAATACGTTAAAACGATCTATACGCCATTCCTCCTATATGCTCCTTCTTGCCAGTCGTGCATCGTTTTGATTAAACGATCGTGATGTTGCAGGAGTCAAGCATGTATAAAATCTATTTAAACTAGGTGAGATTAAAATGTTTTTTATTTTCCCGGTTTAATTCTTTGCAATATTAGTTTATTATTTTCTTCTTATGGAAATAAACCTGCAAAACATACAATGTTTAAGCAATCCTTTTCGATGTAATCGGTCTGAACTATTGTTCACTTTTTAAAAATTTATTTAACACACCTAGTTAACAATAGATTTATGCAGATACAGAAACGAGTACTTACAAAACACGTGCATGAGAAGGCATTTAAATACATTAATGATTGCCTTTTTACATGAAGCAATTCGAATTTCCTAGCTTTAGTATTGCCTGTCTTGCATAATCGTAATAATGTACATATTATATTTATCTACAGACAAATGAGCTTTCTTTTTTGTTGACAATTCTGTGTTGTTGTTATATTTGAAGTTGCACGATGTGATCGAACGATATCTAGCTTTTGCATTCCCGTTGACATTATTCCGTATACATAAGAACTTTATCGCTTGTACGATATGTATATTCACATTACAGCATTATGTTTGCAAGTTACTTCACTCATGCTGTCTTGTATAACATACAGAATATGACAGGACCAGATAATTTTTAATATTT